ATAACATTCAAAATTCTATTTCATAAATTTCGATTAGAAAATTAATCAATGTCAGTCATTGTGTAATATTACTCTATGACGAGGCTACACTATAAAGTTAACATTACATACTTAAAATTTAATGAATATAATATAACAAATTATTAATTTTGTTTGCAAATTATTCTCGGGTCAGTTGGTTTATTTATTTAGATGTCTMTAGCATAAAACRTGCATATAATTATAGTAACTGTGATGTTAATTTTATTATTGAGCCAAAAAGACAGATTGCATTACAATATTTCTTGAGCTGAGATGGTAATAATTTTATTTCTATTGGTTGTATGTTCCGAATCTATTTTATTTTTAAAGTATCGTGTTGTTCACAATTKGGCAGTAGTGGCCAGAGTGCTAATAACTATAGTGTGCTGTAGCCTATTGAAAACCTCCTACTGGGCTCAAAAATTTRGTAATATTAGTTACTATAGTTATTACCACTATATATTGCCTATTGCTTATCCATAATATGTTTCTAAACGTATTATTTTTTTTACCGCAGTGKCATGGTATGATATCGACGTTCAATAATATTAAATGGTGGCATGTATTATGATAAAAATTAAATCAACTTTTAGATCTGTATTATAATTTTTACGTTTTGCTTATAAAAAAAAATGAAAAATAAAAAATAGAAAATAATTGATTTTAATTTTGATTAATAACTGTCTTTTTTCTTAAATATTTTAAATGTGAAATTTATATTGGCTAAATTTTTCAACGGGCAGGTAGGTGGGAAATAGAGAACTAAAAAAATTGTCAATGACTGCGAAGAATGAAAAGAGTAGCTGCAAACCAACCTAAAGGTTGAAAAAAAACTTTTTTGGTAGGTAGACTAAATTTGTTAAGATTTAAACATCTTTTATGATTTTACRTAAGTGCCTGCTAGTCCTACAATTTGGAAGTCGTTCTTATTCTACATAGTRAAGTATCTAATTATTCTAATTGATTATAAAATATAAGCAGTCATAAAATATTTTATAATTATATTATCAATGACGTTATAATTGAATGGATTTTGGCCATTTTAATAATATCTTCATTGTTATTCTTATTCTATTAAACGGAAATACATTTGTCTACTTTGAGAAACGATAAAGTGCCAATGGTCATAACTATTGCCAATATGATTAGTTGTATATAAATTCCAAACTGATTGCTGTAAAAGAAACTAATGGCTGCAGACATTGCCTGTAAAACAGTCGGATTAAATTATAAAAAAATAAATTTCAAAACTAAAAATCGATTTCTTTGTGAATGTAGAATATTACCTGCATAAACATGAAAAGTGACGTGGCGGAAGCACTGTTATTCGAGTATTTCACTCCGATTATGTTGTATATTTGCGTGGTGAAACCACTGTCTCCTAAACCCAAAAGGAACCCGCAAAATACAGCCAAGTTTTGACTGAAATTAATAATATGCCTATACTAAATAAATGTTAGATACGATAAAAAAAAATTAACACACAGAGCCAACTGTTTATAAAACTATTTTCTTAAATATAATACGTGTCTAATTTAAATAAAATGTAATCAAGAACCTCAAACGTGGTAATACTTCACATGRCGAAATAAACAAAATACATATAATAAAATTTAACTTCACGACTAATAAGAAAAACATTGGTGAAAACGGTGTAGCTTGGGAAAAAACTTGGGACTATAAAGTAAATAGAAACGATACTGTGAATAAGAAC